AGAGAGACACCCTTGCTCTTCAATACTTTGGAGAGGTCCCTAACAGCAGACTTTCCCATGGCAATATGCCTTTTAATTTCCTGGCTGCTGGTGCCAAGACTGTTGACTGTGGAGCCAAGCAAACTAAATCAATGACTAAGGATGACAAATCCATGCCTTTGCACTGTGGTGAATGAGAAGAATTTTCAATATCCTATGGACAACTTAAGAACCAAACAGGTATGTCTTGGAGAAAGGAAAACCAGAATGCTCTTTGGAAGCAAAGATGACAAAGCTTCATCTCATATACTTTAGGCATGTTGCTAGGAGTGGCTACGGCTTGGAAAGAGACTCCATGCTTGGTCAGTGAAAGAGAGAAAAACCCTCAAAGAGATGGCTTGATGTAGTAACTGCAGCAATGAACTAAAATGTTTCAGAGATGATAAGGATGGCACAGGACAGGAAAAGGTTCAGATCTACTGTTCACAGTGTCACTCTGAATCATACTTGACTCAAAGTCACTTACAAATCACAATATGTTATTCAACCCATGCTCAAGCAGGCATGATGACCTCTGAAGGGTCAATTGGCACCCTTTCTTTGTGAAAGCATTGGAGGTGTGAATTAATATAATCTTTAAAATTTTTTTTATTAGTTCTTTAGTGAAAACCTACTGGAGGGTCAGCTGTGAGTCAGTTCTGACACAAAGGCATACAGTAACAGCAGTTCTTTATTGGTGTTCTGGGTGTGGAACCCATATAGTGTGTCGCACTACTAACTAAAAGTCCTCATGTCTGTAGTGGTCAGAATCCACCAGTGTCTCCTGGGAAGAAAGACGGATAGTTTCCTCTGAAGATTTACAGCCTTAGAAACCCAGTGGAGTTTCTCAACAGAGAAACTCAATGGCAGTGAACTGAGTCTGAGCTATTTCCCAGGCCTCCTTACTCCAACGTATTCATGTATTTGGAAGTAAAAGATACTATGTCAGAAAGAAAGCTAACCGTCACAATAACCATGATGAGAGAAATTGACAGATTGTATATTATTTAATTCATTAACTAAAATCTGGAATATTTGTTAAATACAGACAACAAACTCTTTTGATAATGAGTTTGTGTTTCCTCTCCCCTCCAAAAGCTGAACAAATCACTTCCAGCATAGTTTACGTAACCATTTCTATCATTTAGCACTTAATACATTTTAAGCATGACACACACATAGTCAATAAAAATGGCAGAGAAGAGGCAGTGTTATTTACAAATCCCCATAAGCTTTTTGTCATTGAATCTACTTTGATTCATAGTCAGGAGAAGACTACCCCTCTTTCTCCAGAGGAACCAATGGTGGCTTAGAACTGTCTGCCTTCGGCTCAAAAGCACAACTTTTTTACCTAGTAGGCCACTGGTGCTCACATAAAGGAGTGGAAAAACAACTTGATCTATTTCCCTTGTTATTTACAGCCGCAGAACCCAAAGGAGGATCAGCTATGAGTCAGTCTCAACTCAATGGCATTGAAGTTTTTTGAGATGGCATGTGTAGAGTTTGGACTAGTCAAATCATTATGATTATTGTAAATCTCACCCCAGGAGTTATAATATGATCATGATGCTCTCTCAGCAAGTAAAAGATGTCAATGTGCACTGACAAGTATTTGCTGCTATGAAATACAGAATATTCAATTAAAGACAGTTATTTGTTAAGAGTTTATCTCATATATCCTTCCTTATTTTTTTATATTCTAGATATATTCTTATTCTTTTTGAAGATGTAAAAAGTATGTTCTCCCTTCCATATTATTACACTATAATTTAGTACTGGAATAGTAAGCATCTCTGCATATCTAATGAGCTTCTGTGGTCCTATTTTAAAGTATTTTTAATCTTCATAAATAACAGCTAAGTAAACGTAAGGCTCTTTGGACAATTTCTTTGGTTTAATGTATTCAAATCCACATTTGGCACTCCATTCCTGTTCATTTAAAAAATAAATCTTATCTCATAGGCTCTCCATGAATACACACACCACCTAACACTATAAATCAAAGCAACACATACTGAATGATGAGATCAACCTGTTAGTTTCAAAAGATACCTGCCATTCTCAGAAATGTCTTAATTTTTTTAAAATTAAGTCAATAAACAGCCTTTTTTTATTAATTTCAATGAACATCTACAGAGATTTTGGATTCATTCATTCATTTAAACAGCCTATTCTTAAAATGAGTCCTAGCCATGCAATGTAACAGTTTGCTTGAATCAGGATTTCTAAACACAGATGAAGATTATTTCATTTTTCTCCCCGCCCCCGAGCATTTTCATAAACAAATGAAAAGAAATCTTAACTATTTTCAAGAGGTTTTCCTCCAAAAGAGTAATTCTTCATCAAGTGCAACTAATAGATAATTTTACAAAAATTGTTTACTGGGCATGCGTCCATGTCGTCCACATTCACAGTTTACTTGGCATAGAAAATGAAGAGAATATAAACTATGGCCAAAAATTTGGCAACTCTGACTTCATTGTTCTGTAGATAATGGCATGACTATCCTACATCCCGACTCCAATTACAAAAGTGATAACAAAAATGAGAGTTTTGACAGTCCAATTTCAATGTCACTTTAAGAAGCACTTCACAACTTAAATCCAAAGAGAGAAAGAGAGTTCTGGAATAACCCTGCAGTCACATCAAAATGGTAGCAGTATTCCAATAACTGCAATTTGTCTTAATTAAAAACAAATAAAGACTTACTTGCTTTGTTTTTCCATGCTAGCTACCCGGAGGCATTCCCAACGAGAATTTAAGAGATTCATTTGTTCTTGTACTTCAGTTTCTTCGTCTTCTGATAATTTCCCTGCTCCAATCAGTTGACTTCCCAATTGGAGAACATTACCAACCCGTCCCTGATGAGATGTCAAATCCATCATGTACCCCTGACAGGAAAAGAAGTTAACAATAGTAATTAATACTTTAGAGAAATCTTTATGGCTTTTTCATTTGAAAAATTGTACACAGTCAAAATAAATTCCCAGTCAAACATTTTCATTTTATTGCAAGAAATCTATTAGAGTTTTTAATACAAATCAAGCAAAGTGAGACACAAATGAGTTCACTAGAGACATGCTTGATTTGTGACAGTCCAATACCTTTCAACAGAACTTTCTGACTACAAGAGACTAGAAATAAAGGTGGGGCAATCAAAGAGAATTGACTCAACATGGGCTGCCAAAAGAATAATCAAAAGAGCTTTGAAAGGGATACAACCAGAATTACTCTTTAGAGGCAATGCAGGTGAAACCTCATCTCACAAACTTTGGGGATGTTGTCAGGAGGGACCGGACCTTGGAAAAAAGACATCATATTAGGAATGACGGAAAATCAAAGAAAGAGAAGATAACCCTAAATGAAATGGAATGCCACAATAACAGCAACAAGGGGACTGAGACAAGACAGAAATTGTGATAGTGACACAGGATAGGGTTGGGTTAGGCTGAGATCTATTGTTTTTCATAGAGTCCCTATGAGTCATGATCAACTCAAAGACACCTGACAATAACAACTTCAGAAAATCAGCAAGTAACAACTCTATGGATCAGAGAGTTCAGATCCACAACCTATCATGTGGGTGCTCCACGACAAGTCAGAGTTATGTTCATTTGCACAAGAGTCAGTGCTACAACACTGTCATAGGGGACTTTTATGGAAGCATACCCTGAGTTAAGGAAGTCTGTGTAAGTGACTTTCCATGGGAGACTTCCTATGGAGGACAGTAAGGGAGAAAGAGGAGCAGGAAACAGGACTGGGCAAGGAGAAGCAGCTAGGCAAAGACGTAATCTCAATGCAAGTCTCTCAGAAAGAGTTTTTACAATGATAATACATGGGCACTCTGGAACATAAATTCTGCCTTGGCATTGTTTTAACATGAGAGATGGGAATTAACCTTGCACCCTATTCCTGCCACAAGTTATTCGCAAAACAAACTTTGTACATCTTCAAGGATTTCCTCTAAGAGACAACTGCAGAAGCTGGCTGCTAGAATTCTAAGGACATCTGATGAACTTTCATTGCTTTCTATTTCAAAATGACAATTATATTACAATCAACACCCATGACAGCGGTAGTCCAGAAATCAAAAGATATGTTACACTGAGAAAGCCTGCTGTCAAGGACCTCCTCGAGGTGCTAAAGAGCAAGGGTATCAATTTAAAGACTAAGGTGTACCTGGCCCAAGCAGTCAATTGCTTTCTATGCATCTGAATGTTAGTCAATGAATGAGGAAGATTGAAGAAGAATCAATGTCTCTGAATTTTACTGTTGATAAAGAGCATTGCAAGTATACCATGGACTGTCAAAAGAACAAAGAAATTCACCTTGGAAGAACCAGCACCAGGGTGCACTTTAGGGGCAAATTGATGAGACGTCATATTACATACTTTGGGCACGTTGTTAGGAAGGCGAGTTCTGGAGAAAGAAACATCATTCTGGGAATGGTGGAGGGTTAGTACAAGAGAGGGAAGACCTTCAGTGAGCTGGATTGAGAATGACTGCAACAATGGGTTCACACAAAGCATGTCTGAGCTTGTGAGGATGGCGCAGAATAGGGCAAGGAGTCAACCTGCTCAATCCGTAGTTCATAGGCTCTCTAGGAGTCATAGTAAGCACGACGGCTTCTAACAGCAGCGACAACAAGACAGAAACCAAAGCCTGTTGCCATCAAGTCAATCCAAGGTTGATGGTTTGAATTCACTCAGGGGCAACTTTCCGGGGAGGGAGGAAAGGCCCGGTCATCAACTTCCAAAAGGTCATTATTCTTGAAGATCCTATGGAGGTCAGTTCTATTCGACATGCATGGAGTTGCCATTAGAAGAGTGTAAGGAACTTAGGTAAAAATTGAGACCCAAAATTTGACTGGTGGTTATGCTAAAGCACATGCTCCATATCCCAACGCAGTGCTCGGTTTTACCTCATGAGTGTGAAATTGTTCCTTTACTTCTTCTACATCACTGGAAACCTCTCCCTGGGCTCGCAGAGCATCCTCGGCAGAAAGGAGCCACGAGAGCACTTCCTCCAAAGCTGTTTGGTAAGTGTCCAGGTTGACTTCACTCCCCACCAGTGAGCGGCCAAATGGCTTGTCTTCAGGAGCTTCCAAATGCTGAACAATAAAATAAACTGGGTGTTAGCCAATTAGGATCTCGGCAAACCGTTCCAGTACATTAAATGATAGATCGGATAACATATTTAAAATGCTAGAAATGGCCCCTTGCATTATTGGAGACATGGACAGCAGACACACACAGAGGAGAGGCTGCATTTAACATCCTCACAAATACACGCTCACATTCTCAAAAGGCAAATGAAATCCCCACCAAATGACTATCTCATGAAAGCTCTTTCGGATTACTATAAAGAGTGAGTTATTACAGCATCTCATCACGTTGCATTTTCAATGCTATGATATTTCATCCATGGGCAATTATTTTTCAGTTGCAATTTTCCATCCTTTACATATACATTAGTGTTATTCTTTTTAGGCACTTTTGCAATGGTGTGAAAGGAAAAAATATTTTTACAAAGGAAATACTCTTCCTGAGAGATACTAGATAGTGAACAAGGTCAGAAAGTTAATAGAATACATTTGTCACTATGAAAGTAAGTGCTGAGGTGAGGGGTTATTAAGTTTGAAAAAAAAATATATATATATATAGATAGATAGAGAGAGAGAGAGAGAACACAAATATGGAATTTCTATCTGAATAATTATTTGTATGAGTTTGTTATGTATTTCCAAAAGAATATGTTGAGTGAAGTCCCCAGGTTAATATGCAAAGAGTTAATATGCTCTGCATTTGACTGAAAGGTTGGAAGTGTGAGTTCACCCAGAGACACCCTGACACCTTGGAGGTAAGGCCTGGTGATTTACTTTTTTTTTTTTAAATAAGCCGTGAAACCTCTGGAAACTCTATGCCATAGAATTTTACTCTGAAAGCCATGGCCTTATCATCATTTATATTGGCCTGACAATAATTGATTATGGTTTAAGTTGCAAGATACTATCTGAAGATAAGTAAAAGATACTATAACTGCTAAAATTCATTAAATATCATACAGACATTAAGATTCTTAACGGCTGTCTTAAAATTTCTTCTGAGATATTAAAGCCTAGAATATTAATTAGAATATGAAAATTAATAAACTATAATTATAGAAAAAAAAAAGATCCAAAGTGTCCATAATTTTAAAACAGGATTCAAGTCACCTATGAAGCAATTGCTTAAATGGACAACAAAATATGTCCTGTCATCTTGAAACTATTATTCATATTAAAGGTATATTAAAGCAAACAAGGGCTTTTAGAGGAAAAAGTGTCAGACACAGTAAGATTGGCGCAGGATAGAGGAGGGTTTAGGGTTGCCGTACATAGGGTCACTATGAATCGCTGGTGACTCGACAGCACATAACAACAACTGTTGAGTTAGAATTGTCTCATATCTGACCTTCTAGCAGGTCTTCAGAGGCTGTATCATTACACAGGAGGAGAGTGCCCAGCTTTCTCAGAATCACATCTTTGAGTCTTCATTTTTCCTTTGAACTTGGGTTTTGTAATTGCACTTCAAAGGGGCAATGGGGTATGCACATGAGAAAGTAAATGAGTACATTTGTTTCTACTCCATAAGTGGTTCTGGTGTCCCAGAAGAGAACCCTGGAATACCCACAATGCAAGAGTGCTTAGAGAGACTCAAAGGCTGGACAAGATTGCACACCTACAACTGAGCAAGGCACGTTTGTTTGAACCAAAACTTGCTTCTAATACAAAAAGGGCAGTTGACAAAAACAAAGGCAATCAAGGAATATAACTACATCCTTTCTTACTCTTACTACTTTCCTATATTGTTGTGTGCCCAAAATCTTAGAACAATGTGAATTATTGATATCAGCCCTCTGTGAAACAGGAAAATTGATATGGTTCCTATTAAATAGCTCACTAAAACCTATTGAGAATCTTGAATTCAAACAATCGCCAAATGATAAACTATAAACACAATTAGCCATGTAACAAAACACTATGCTTTATCCTATGCTGAAATATGAGTAAGAAAAAACTTTATGATTTACTTTCTTTGGGACTTTTGAAAAATTTATATTGGTTTGCATATAAAATTCATATACACTGTGTTTCACAAATTCCTTCATTCATATTGTTTCATACTATCATCCCATACACTGTATATTATAAAATTAATCACCTTTGATCTATGCCCACTATTACCAAGTTGTCTTAGGTCTTTACTGGATCTTTCCAAATTCTTTCACCTCTTCCCATCAGACTCTACAATCTAGTAATTTCCTTCTCTCCCTTAGTACCCATGCCCCCAACCTGTTCCCATTTTGAACTTTTGTACTCATCTTACCAATGATCCTTGATTTACTTATATTTTTATACATTTACGTTTTTATGGAAAATTATAAAATGTGAATTAGTAAAACTAATAAATGTATATATGTATTTATATTTATCAATATAGTGATACCCAAAATTCTCAACGAGGTCGTAAATTTTTCTTACCGAAAACATTCTATTTCAAATTTTAAGTCACAATGCATCATTGATTCATGAATTCCTTTCAGTTAACCATACACAGAAATTCTTATAAATTGAATGGAATAAATAGTACTGATCTGTGTCACTTAAAATAAGAATTAGGGTTAAGTAGTTTTGGTAAAATTGCCAGACTTGGTTATTTACCATTTGAATACGTGGATCACAACAAATTGTGGCCAACTTTGAAAAGAATGAGAATCTTGAAACACCTGATCGTACTCCTCCCGTGAAACCTGTACTTGAATCAGGAGGCAGTCGTCAAAAGAGAGCAAGGAAAGTGCATGGTTCAAAAATAAGGAGTGCATCAGGGATATGTTATCTCTATACCTTTTCAGATCATCTGGGAGGCTGGACTTTATGACGAGGAATGTGGCATCAGGACTAGGGGAAGACTCATCAGCAATCTGCATTATGCAGATAACACAACCCTGCTTGCTGAAACTGAGGAGGACCTGAAGCATTTCCTGCAGAAGGTCATGGACCATAGTCTTCAATAAGGGTTGAAGCTCAACATCAAGACAAAGATTCTCCCTACTGGTGCAATTGACAGCACTATGATAGATGGAGAGGAGATTGAGGTTGTTAACAATTACAGCTTGCTTGGTTCCACAATCAGCACTCTTGGCATCAGCAGTTGGGAAATCAAAAGGCAAGTTGCACTAGGAAAATCTGCTGTTAGGGACCTCTCCAGAGTGCTGAGGAGCAAGAATGTCAGTCCAAACTGAAGTGTGCCTTATCTAGGCGATGGTCTTCACAAATACTTGTTATGGACAATGATCATCGATGACAGAAGAAAAATTGATGCCTTTGAGTTGTGCTGCTAGACAAGAGTATTGGACATATCGTAGACTGCCAAGAGAGCTAACAGATCTGTCCTAAAGAGGGTGAAGGCAAGTTTCTCCTTGGAGGCAAGGATTTTGATGCTCCATCTCAAATACTAGGCCATATAGCCAGTAGGAATCACTCTTTGGAGAAGGATATTATGCTTGGAAGGATTGAGGGACAGTGTAGGATAGGAAGACCCCAGCTGAGATACATTGACACAGTAACCGGGGTAATAAAGGTAGGTGGGTCAAAGACAGTGAGACTGACTCAGAATAGAGTCATAGTCAACTTGACAATACATACCAACAACAACAAACGCATATCTACATATGTTTACCTAGTCAATATATAACTTTGACTGGATTTTCTGTTGTTGCTATTATTTTTTTTTCTTCTGAACGTGCTGAAACAAGATTGGTTGGGCAAGGTTCTATAGTTATTAAAAACAGTTATTAAAAAGTTATTCATAGGGGAGCTCTGGTGGCTTAGTGGCAAGAAGCTACACTGCAATCCCAGAGGTACGCAGTTCAAATCCACCAGATGCTCTGCCAGAGAAGGACAGGCAATCTCCTCCTGTACCAGTCAGATCTGATTTGATGATACACACACACACACACACACAAGATTATTTTAAAAAATTTAGAAAAGCTATTCATAAAATAAGACACGTGTGTGCAACAATGAATGAATGGAAACCCTAAGTCTCTGTAAACTTTCATTAAAACAAAAAAGAAAGACACTTGTGTAAATTCACTGCTTGCAACAGACCCTCAGAAGAAAATAGATTTTATTTAACAGAGTTGGGAAACAAAGAAAGATATATGAAGTTTTGCACTTGGCTTTATCACTTGAAAATATGTTTGCGTTGCCAGAGAGTTTCACATACCACCAGAGTATGTGGCCGATTCCTCCTTTCCTGTGAAATTTGATCCTCACTTTACAAAGAAGACAATTTGATGTAACAAAGGCAGTCATCAGTCTTATCTGGAGCATAGAGGCCAGTGTTTTGAACCGGAACTATTCTTTCCCCTACTTTCCAATGTCATTCTAATTTCTATCTTTATCACAGTAGTTTAGGCTCTTCTGCCAATAATGATTCCATAGAGAAGCTTACCCGTGAATGGAGGAAACTAATTTGTTCACTTAGAAAGGGAGAACCCTAAAAAGGATTCAACAAAATCAGCAGAACCTCAGAAGCTTAATTACTGCTTTGTGTGTGTGTGAGGAGATATCCTGTTATGTCACATATGTTCCTTCAAGATATTGCTAATAATGCATAAAGATGGAGGAGTAGGACGGACAAAGAAAACAATGGAAATCAAAAGACGACCTGTGTGAGCCCTGCTTATCCAGGGCAAACGTCTGGAAATTTCTTTCCAGTAAAGATTTCTAGTAATAGAAACTGTCATCATAAAGCATAGAGCAATAGCCTTGACACCAGGCTGTACATAAATATTTTTAAAAGCCCAGTTTACTATCTGCCTTGGGTATGTTATCTCTGGTAAGATATTTTTCCTTACCCAGGTCCCAGTTTCCTCATCTGTAAAACAAGGAAGATAAAATGCTATCTCCACTGGATTGTTGGAAAGATTATATGAGACAATGCATATAAAATGCTAAGCACATACTAATTTTCAAGAAATGCTCTGTAATGCCTGCATTTGGGGACCAATGTGCATTGAAATGGCAAATGGCTTTTACGAGGAAACAGAGTTGAATGAGCTGTG